ATGTGTTCAATATTACTGTCGATTTTAGTTAAAGAAAATGCCTACGACACTTTTTATTATTTGTTAGTCGTATGCATCCAAAATAGATGTTTCATAATATGTTTTGTATCGAAATAGATTTATTATAGACAGAATTTTAGTGATAAACGTATACATAGGGCAGGAGTTTTCTCGTTGTCATTTCTACGCATATTAAAATTCTGTGAGTCTCAAATGTGAACATACACAATTTGAATATTATTTCTTTATGAATGGTATAGAGACTAATGAAAGTTCAGCAGTTAGAATACCAAAAGAAAACAAAATTTCTCCTTATTAAACACATATTTCGAAAGAATATAAAATAAATCAAAAATCATTTTAACAAGATTGTGAGTGATATTATATTCATTCTACAAGTCTCGCTCATATACTCTCACGACGACATTGGTCATACTGAAAAACATGTATATAGCAGTACTTGTCTAATACGAGATCGAATGTAAATAAAACTATCGTATTCACATATGGCACCAGCAGCCAAAAATAAATAATAAATTCTTTCTCACTTACAATTTTAATTCAAATAACGACTATCTTATTAAACTAGCAAAGTAACCAAAGGCTAATTATATTTTGAATATTAATGCAAATTTGAATTAGAACTGTCTAGTACACCATACGACTAAATTATCTGTACGAAAAGTCATTATTGAATTGTTCCATTCATTTTTGAATTTTCATAATATGCACTTCAATATTCAACTATATTCGAATTTTAATTAGAAAAACTCGCAATAGTGTTTATTATAATCATAAAGAAAATAAATCGAACTGATGATGTCGTTGTTGTTTTTTTTTGTTCTTGCCAGCAAGAGAAAAAAATCGCTCTCAGAAGACCAAAGAAAAATAAACAAAGTATGAAACAAGGTATCCAACGCAATGACACTGACATCACGGTATAGATGAAAAACAAACGAAAGTTGGAAAGAATAAACAGAAAATAAATGACGTTATTGTATTTTTTCTCTTTCATTCGTTATTGACAATTATATTTTTAATTGAAACTGAATATGTGAAGTTTGTTGTTTAGTGTCAACGAAAAAAAAAACAACACTCACATTTAATATCGTAGTAAAATTTAGAAAAAGAACACAAGGCAATGACTACAGGGTACTGATCATGAAAGTAAATGTTGGCAATTAATGCAACGATCTTTCTATACTTAGAACATTGAATAGAGACTTCTGTAGTTGTCGTTTAGTTTGTAAAGTTATTTTGTAGCAACAAAGCCTAGCTCTCGCATTGAGGCAGTTGATTCCAATCTTCATCAATCTATCCATTAATATGTTCTAAAAGACACGATAATCATTCTAAGTCATCTTTGAAATATAAACATCTATTACGGGTTATTAACTTTTCATTAATCAATAGTCGTGAAAATGTAGTCTGTCACATTAAGGCAAATGTTCTTGTCAATGACGTTATAATAAAAAATGCTATTTAATTAGTATCGAGAAAGTGTGACTCTTACAAATCTTTCATGGTTTTCTGTCTTGTGGATTCATCTTATGCCATATCTGATCTTCTCGATGACAATCTTGTCTAGAAATAATTTTAGAACTTCAAAAGCTCTAATACTACATGAAGATCTTCTTGATAATACCTAAATGACATTTCATGACATCATCTAGTATATAGGATTCTTTGCTTAAAAACAATAATGAATTCCGTGCATCAGTATGTTATGCCTGTTATCATTGTTGGTTATGATGAATATTCGCATATGAAGTCTGTTTCAGGTTCGGTTTTACAGATGTTTCCGAGCAGCAGTATAACCCGATTGAAATATGAAATCTATTTGTCATATTCATCTAGAGATGTAAGCAGATCACCCGCAGCGCCGTCAATATAGTAATCAACCAAAAAACTAAGTATTCGACTTTTGAAATTCTTCTATCTCCAGTTCTAGTTTCGGCAAGATATTTCTCTCGTTTCTTAGCAATCTGTCCTACATCATCCTATCCTTCAATTTTCCAAATCAAGAAGACTTCTTGTCACATAAAAAAAAAAGTGAATGCTCTAGCGAACTAAATTTTCAGCATTCATTCAATTTTAACGATCTTTCCAATATGATGTTTATCATACTTCGTCTATACGTTTTTCGCTACATTAGATACTTGTGAATGAAGAATCATGAAGAAAAAATGGAATGAATATAATGCAACGAACAGTATCAAATTGATTTTTAAGGTCTTTCGATTGATTCAAACTCTTCAACATGATAGAAGAACATAGACAGCCAGTCGTAAAAAGCTTTCGATGAGATGTCAACACATTGAAAGAAAGAAGCGAATAAAGAAAAATGCAGTCTTACTTTTCTTCACCAGTCCTTTGTTTACATATTCTATCCTCGCAAATGATGGTATCAATAATAAAACTGCATTAATGTATGTTTTTGTTTTGTTGGCTCGTTCTTTGTTAATCTACTTTTGTTTGTTGATCCTTCTTGTTTGTCATAGTTACATTTTCAGAAGAAACCTAACAGAATCATGAAATCAATGTTACAGCCAATTTTGTTTCTATTCGCGGAAAAAAGTTCTGTGTTTGTACAAAGACATGTGACATGCACAACAATCATAGTGTTTTTTTTACTTATATCGTCAATATTACTGTCGATTTTAGTTAAAAAAATAACTGCAATAATTTTCATTATTTGTTAGCTGTATGCAAACATAGATAACTCTCCTAATAGACATTTTCTCGTTGTCATTGTGACGCACGCTAAAATTGTGTGAATCTCAATTGTGAACAAACCCAATTTGAATATTATTTCTTGATGAATCATATAAAGATTAACGAAAGATCAGCAGTTAGAATATCAAAAGAAAGCAAAGTTTCTTTTTATTTTACACATATTCCAAATGAATATAAGATACATCAAAAATCATTTTAGAAAGAGTGTGAATGATGATACATTCATTCTTCTAGTTTCACTTGCACACTCTCAGAACGTCATTTACCTCATTGAAGAATGTGTCCTGATGTGTCCAGAATTCAATAATCTGTTGAAATTTAGGTAACAGATCAATCCTAATGTTTCAAACAAAATTGACAACATCATAGTTTGTTTACCCACAAATTGTACACAATTGCAGTGCTGTCTCGAATATGAGTGTGGCTGTGGATGTCGAAAGAACCAAAACCTACACCTATATCTTTCTGAAAATGTCTTGGGTTTCGTGAATTCCAAGAGTTTCGTGAGTGAAACTGTACTGTTGAGTGTTCCAGGAGTTTATAACTCATTGAATTCGGCTATTGCTGCCTAGCGATGACTAATTTTATTCAGAATATTGATTCGAATTTCAGTTAGAACTGTTTGGGATAGGATATGGCTAAATTTATTGTATGTGACAAGGATAAAAATGGTTGTTCAACTATTGCTCCAATCAATATTGAATTTACTTTTCTTGTTGTTTTCTTTACATTATCAGCGTGTCAATCATATGCATTATGAAAAAAATAAAGCAGATAATGTCATTTTTGTTTTTTTTCGTTCTTGACAGAATGAGAAAAGTCTTTTTTCTTTAAAAAGAATCGGCGAAAAAGTAAACAATCAATGCGACACGGTATCCAACACATTGGTTTTCAAATGATTCTTATGTAGACGAAAAACAAACGAAAGTTGGAAAGAATAACAATGGAATAAATGACGTTGTTAAATTGTTTCTCTTTCATTTGTTGTTGACAACCATATTTTCAATTGCAACTGGGTGGAATTTGTCCTTGAGTGTCAACGAAAAAAATAATACATCTATATTTGACGTCGTAGAAAAATCTAGAAAAAGAACAGACGACATCGAATATATAAATAGAAAAGGTAGTCTTTGTCCAAACAACAATCTATCATTGGAAATACCCAATTATCAATCAAACGCCAAAAAATGGCATCAAAAATGAGTGAACGCCGAAGACAACGAATGGCTGAAAATTACCTGGTCATCTGGGTCGACGGTAATATCAACATGGCAAATGAAGATTGCCAGAATACACTCGCGCAATTACGCGATGTTGTTAATGAAGTGAACCCATGCACCACTGCCGAACAATGTGTTGAAAAACTCCAGGAAAACAATGAGGAGACATCATTTGTCATCTCCTCAGGTGCATTAGGTCAACACCTGGTACCAGAAATTCATGGCATGCCAAAACTAGATGCCATATACATCTTTTGTGGCAACAAGCAACGTCACCAAGAATGGGCTAAAAATTGGCCCAAAATTAAAGGTGTGCATACATCGATCAAGCATATCTGTGAAACATTGGCACTAGCTGTCAAACAATGCAATCAAGATCAAGTAACGGTCAGTATTATTGGTATCAATGAAGGAGGTTCTAGCGAAAATCTGAATCAGCTAGAGCCTTCCTTCATGTATACACAAATATTCAAGGAAATACTCCTTGATATGAAACATGGCCAACAAGCCATAAAAGATATGGTTATTTTTTGCCAAGAACAATATAAAGAGAATCCAGCAGAGCTCAAATATATTCAAGAATTTGAACGTACTTATCGTCCATCAAAAGCCATTTGGTGGTATACCCGCCAATGTTTTACATACAAAATGCTCAATCGAGCATTACGAACATTGGATGGCGACATTATCATTCGGATGGGATTTTATCTATGTGATGTTCATCGACAAATTGAAACTTTACATACCAAGCAAGTTAGTCAATATCATGGTAAGACATTTCTTGTTTATCGCGGGCAGGGATTATCAAAGGTAGATCACGAAAAACTCGTCAAAAGCAAAGGTGGACTCATTTCATTCAATAATTTTTTATCCACCAGTAAAAATCGAAATGTGTCCTTAGCTTTCGCCAACGAAGCCTTAGGAACAGAAGGAATGATTGGCGTTCTCTTTCAAATGACCATCGATCCTATGGTCTCATCGACTCCTTTTGCCTCCATCAAGGAGGTTAGTGATTTCGCACAAGAAGAGGAAATTCTCTTCTCGATGCACACCGTCTTTCGAATTGGTGAAGTTCGAAAAATTGATAAGAAAAGTCCACTTTATGAAGTGGACCTCAAACTTACGTCGGATGATGACCAACAGCTTCGTGAATTAACCAATCGTATACGAGAAGAATCTTCAGGTGGCACTGGATGGTATCGAATGGGTAAATTGCTACTCAAAATTGGTCAATTTGACAAGGCCGAAGAATTGTACATGGCACTACTAGAACAGGCTTCTAACGACAGTGATAAAGCACATATCTATCACCAGCTTGGATGGTTGAAAAACGACCAAGGACAATACAAAGAAGCAGTTTCATCTTATGAAATGTCTCTCAAAATTAAACGAAAAACTCTTCCAGAAGATCATCCTTCATTGGCTCCTATGTACAACAACATTGCTCTAGTGTATAACGACATGGGTGACTACTCGAAAGCACTTGAATTTTACGAAAAAGATCTCGAAATCAAGAAAAAAGCTCTGCCTCCGAATCATCCCGATTTGGCTACTTCCTATACTGGCATCGGTCAAGTGTATAACAACATGGGTGACTACTCGAAAGCACTTGAATTTTACGAAAAAGATCTCGAAATCAAGAAAAAAGCTCTGCCTCCGAATCATCCCCATTTGGCTACTTCCTATACTTGCATCGGTCAAGTGTATAACAACATGGGTGACTACTCGAAAGCACTTGAATTTCACGAAAAAGATCTCGAAATCAAGAAAAAAGCTCTCCCTCCGAATCATCCAGATTTGGCTACTTCCTATACTTGCATCGGTCAAGTGTATAACAACATGGGTGACTACTCGAAAGCACTTGAATTTTACGAAAAAGATCTCGAAATCACGAAAAAAGCTCTGCCTCCGAATCATCCCGATTTGGCTACTTCCTACAACAACATCGGTGGAGTATATAACAACATGGGTGACTACTCGAAAGCACTTGAATATTTCAAAAAAACGCATCAAATCTACGAAAATGCTCTGCCTCCAAATCATCCTCATCTGGCTTTTCCATACAACTGGTTCGGTAAGATTTATCGCAGCATGAAAGATTATCCAAAAGCACTTGAGAATTTCGAAAAATGTCTCGCAATATTTCAAAAAACGTTGCCTGAAAGACATCCCAATCAAGCTATTACATATAGTAATATTGGTGATGTTCATCGATTAATGGGTAATTATGAAAAGGCATTTGCATTTCATCAAAAAGCATTAAATATTCAAGAGAATGTTCAATGTAATCCTCTGGACTGTGCATTGACATATATAAATTTAGGTGAAACTTATCGTGAAAAGAGTGATTATTCAACAGCATTGACATATTTCGAAAAAGGATTAGAAATACGTGAAAATAAATTACCAACAAATCATCCTGATTTAGCTGTTGTATATCATAATATGGCAAAATTATACTTGGCCACACGAAAATATAGTATGGCAATGAAAAATATTCAACAAGCAGTTGAAATAGCTCAAGAAAAATTACCTTCAACTCATCCTCATCTTTTGGAATACAAAGAAACATTTGAAAAAATTCGAAAGAAAATGTAATTTTTGTTTTCGTTTACTTGCTCAATAAATTGGTTTTGATTCTTTTTCACTTCCCGACTTTTCTAGGCTCATTTTCACGCGTACGCGCGCGCGCGCGCGACCAGGGAGAGGCCCTATGCGTATGAAACGGGTACACACAGAGCGGACCACGCCGGACTGGTAGGGCAATGTACATAGGTGTACCGTACATAATGACGGCAGGGACCTACGTACATTAAAGGCCTTCCCGAGCACTACACTGCTTTCGCCATTCCATGACGAATAGAATCTCTCTCTGGATCAGGTTACGAAGCCACCTGACAAGGCTGTGATATAAATTGGTATCTATCTTCTAACATAAATAACATAGACTTAACATAATAATAATAGTATACACTAAATGTGTACAACAACGAAGAAAAAAATTATTTCATCCGAAATAAATCATCTATATCTCATTCTAATATTATCTCAATGTAAGTATTGTTATGAAAATTTAATTTAGAATTGTTCTTTCAACTATTAATTTATTTGTTCAAGTCTTTCTCAAGATAAATAAGATAATTTTTGAAGCAACATACCCAATCTTGTTATTGATATAAATCAATAAGAAATTATATTCTTTTTTAACATTCTCATGGTTTTTATAATTTCATATAATTCATAAAAAAAAAGCAGATGAATTCTAAAAACATCATAGAATAAATTTCTATCATAAATCAATATATCCTAACATATATTATCATTGTAATCAAAAACATTGTAAAAAAATATGAATCATAATATAACATCATTGAATGAATGAATGAATGAATGAATGAATTTCATTATAAATTAATGCATTGTAAAGCAATGGATTTAAATAACATCATTCAATAAATTTCATTCTAAAATAATACATTTTAATATAATGATTCAATAGACATCATTGTAAATTAATACATTTTGATGCATCATAAACTGATAGATTTCATTGTAATATAATGCATCTTTATATAATATCATTCAATAAATATCATTGTAAGTAATGAATTTAACAACATATAATGAATTTCATTGTAAATTAATATATTTTTATATAATATCATTCAATAAATACTATGGTAAATTCATGCATTTTAACACAATATTATACAATAAATTTCATTCTAATTTAATACAATATAATGCATCATAAACTTACATATTTCATTTTAAAATAATGCATCTTTATATAATATCATTCAATAAATATCATTGTAAATAATGAATTTAACAATATATAATAAATTTTATTGTAAATTAATACATCTTAATATAATATGATTCAATGAATATCATTGTAAATTAATGAATTTTAACATAATATCATATAATAAATTTCATTGTAAATTAATACATTTTAATACATCATAAACTGATAAATTTCATTGTAAAATAATGCATCTTTATATAATATCATTCAATGAATATTATCGCAAATTAATGAATTTTAACAGAACATCATACAATAAATCTCATTGTAATTTAATACATTTTTATGTAATATCATTCAATGAATATTATGGTAAACCAATGCATTTTAACGTAACATCATATAATAAATTTCACTATAAATTGATACATTTTAATGCATCGTAAACTGTATACATTTCATTGTAAAATAATACATTTTTAAATAATATCATTCAATAAATATCATTGTAAATAATGAATTTAACAACATAAAATAAATTTCATTGTAAATTAATATATTTTTATGTAATATGATTCAATAAATACTATGGTAAATTCATGCATTTTAACATAGCATTATACAATAAATTTCATTGTAATTTAATATAATATAATGCATCATAAACTTACATATTTCATTTAAAAATAATGCATCTTTATATAATATCATTCAATAAATATCATTGCAAGTAATGAATTTAACAACATATAATAAATTTCATTGTAAATTAATGAATTTTAACACAATATCATACAATAAGTTTCATTGTAAATCAAAACATTTTAATACATCATGAAATTGATAAATTTCATTGTAATATAAAGCATTTATTGAATTGTACAGAAATGAATTTTAATAACACCCACCCCTAGATTTCGTTCTAAAAAAAATGCATCATTATATAATATCGATCCATAAATATCATCGAAAATTAATGTATTTTAATTCTTTGCGTCCCAAATTATTTCTGCTGGACACTGGCACGTCCAGATAAGAACCAACATGCTCGCATACGGATTCACGTGCGCACACCTACACACCCATATCTACAAACTCGACACCCACCACATCCACATCGTTGAACATTCTTTATTGCTACATTCCAGTAAATTACATAATAATTATTAAACATGTATAGATTTCTTTTTCGTACTATAGAATTCAAAGGTTTAGCATAACATTATGTAACAAATTTCATTATAAATGTATACATTTCCATACATTATAAACTCATACGTAGCATTGTAAATAATTATAAATTGATAACTGTATGTCATTCATGAAAAATCATAATGTAAAATAATACTAATTATTGTAAGTAATATAAAAAATTGTAAACCGTGAAAAATAAATCATATGAATGTCATGTTTTATCTTTATTGAGCATGCTCATGATTTGTTCGATCGAATCGTATGAGAATACCGGTGAAAATGTGTTTCTTATTTATATGTGTTCAAACATACACATTACCAATCAAAGACATTCTAATGATGTTGATATCAATTTGACGAACGATAATTGACGATGATGTGCACATTCGAATATAATTGATTAGATTAATCATCACATGATTAATTGAAATGATGAGACACGAATTAATTTCATCGTTTTTCATGTGCATGGATGTGAATATCTGTCCTTTGTTCATATACAGTCCTTCATGGACAATACATATTCTTTTCTTTCTTCTTTTTTGGATCAGAAGAAATTTCTATTCATCATCATCGAAAAAACAAAAGCAATTAATGTGAATCATAAATCATAGAATTATTTTTTCGTACAACTTTTGAAAATTGATTAGAGTGCATTATTCAAATGAACATATTCATTTTCTTGGAAACACAAAATCAACAAGTCTGTTGAATACGACTGCACTGTCATTATATGAAAACTCGTTAAGACAAAGTCAAATAACTGTACAGAAAATTAAAAAGTTTTCATAAAATTTTATTTCTATCCCATCGAATGAATATTTCTATTGAAATTAAGTTACTAATATCCAGTTGGCACTTTTAAACGAGTATTTGTATCAATTGAAACAAAATCCTTTATTAAGAAAAAAAATTTGAAAATAAAAACCATTTCAATACATTTACTTGAAGATAAATTTCGATTTTACATGATTGATTTGCTGATATATAATCAATTTTTCAGTTGAATATTGATAATAGTAAATAAAATATACATATATGATTCAATCTGAACAAACACTATCAGTAGACATGACTTATTTTCTGTCAAAAACCAATTTTTGTTTTCGTCGATATTATTATTGTTATTGCACTCGAAAAATACCTAAGGAGCGAGCTCTTATCGTTCGATTCCTGTGAAAATACTTTTGACTTCAAAAATTAAGAAATATTCTCTGAAAATGTTTTGTCGATACATGGGATTAGTAGATGGAAGTTCTACAATTGAAAACTTCTTTGCTACTAAACTGAAAGAGGAATGATTTTCTTTAGAAAAACAATTTAAAATTAAGGAGTTGGTTTTTACGTTTGAATAAGTAATACTGTTATTCATCCATCAGATATATTAATCCGATCATAGAGTTTCCATCATGTTGTTTGTCCTTGTTCATATGTAATTATTATTGATGGATATGAAGGAACAGATCGATTTTAAAATTTTCTGTTGTTTTCCTAGTAAATAAGAGTTTTTTACTGTCTACCTTGTTTTTCTGTTATTAATAAATGATTACTCAAGTTTTTGCACAAAGAATGAAAAAAAACTTTAATGTTGTTTTTTCAGATCCATGTAAGTGAATAAAACTTCATATTCCAAATGAAAATCATTTTTTTTTATATATTTGAATAAATCAACGATAAAATTAAATATAGCTAAATTAGTCATTTACAAAAATTCATATAAACAATCATTTAACTTAGACTATTATCCCTTCATATAATACTATAAGTGATTAGCTTATGGGTCTCGAGGCCGAGCATCGTTGACAATTTTCTTACAAATATGAACTAACTTTCAGCTAGAGTCGAGTTTGTTACCCTAGTTAGAATTTCATTTAATTACGTTGACGGTTACCATATCATTCGTGCATATCAATAATCAACACCAGGGAAAAAAACTTCTATTGATTTTGAAGAAACTAGAAAAAAATTATATCATAAAACAAAAAAAAACAAATCTTGATTACATACTACTTTCGTCTGTTATAGATATATCTGATTGACTATATGGATATCCTTTATCGATAGAATCCAATGAATCACAACAAATTCTAGCAAATGTTCCATTTATTGAATCGCTTCCAATATTTGCTGATAATAAATTATTAAATAATAATTCTGTTTTTAATGGTTGAATTCTATTCATTGGTTGTAACAGACGAGAATATTTCATTTTAAAGAACTTTGTCAAAACAGATAACAAACGTTCAATAGAAAAAGTCATCCATACCATTTTCTAGAGCAACTCGTGACATATCAAGAAGTAATATTCTGGCCAGCCATATACCAATTATGGAATGTTATAGGATTGGTCACTTTTGTCCTCAGCAGCAACATTCAAAGATTTAAAAACTTCATTAAAATCAAAAACTACGGATCCCAGTAAAAATATTAAGATTTTTAATAGGAAAAAAGGTATTTGTCAAAATTATTAGATATACACAATTGAAAAACTATATAAGATATCTATTTTATATATCATAACTGGTCGAGTGTGATTGGAAAGGTTTTATACGGCATGTTTGTTCATTTTTGTCTCACTAGAAAGGATTTCCAACGAAACACTCTTGCCGAATATGAACTTCGAAATTTCATTTCAATTTTTACATTTTCACTATTATAATTCGAACCTAAACGTTGGAATCTTTATTTAGATGTTCCCTTGTAATCTACTTTTTGACTGAAAATCATGTTATGTTGAAAGCATCTATTCTACAAAAACGGTATAGATGGTCAACTAACGTTTGTATTTGATAAAGTCTATTATGAAAAAATAATATTGATTGTTCAATAATTATGAAAAGACTAGAAAATATTTAATTGAAATATTTTCTTTTAGTTTTAAGGAAATTATTTTCTTATTTACTTGAATATTATTTTGCCTATTGTAAATAATAAGTTCTCATTTGGATTTAAACAATATATCGTAAAATATTTTTTTCTACTAGTATAACTAGGTGGAGATTTTGTTGTTACAGAACGTTTTAAATCAAAACCTTTTCTAATTTTTGCTGATAAACTGTTCATTTTTTTGGCATGTTTTTAAATTAGGCTCGATTTCAATTATTGAACTATCAATGAAATTCGACTGTATATTATTCATTTTAACCCTTTGGGGACGGTTGGCCCCTTAAGGGGCCATGGTGATTCTCTAGCATTTCAAAACACACAGATTCCTATATGAGATTAGTTTTTGTGAATGTATTTATCATAGAGTTTTTTAGTATAATTTGGATTGTAATTAGGTTATTTTATTCAGATATCCAGTAATGGATAATAAGTTCTTTTAGAAAATAGAAATGTTGATTGGTTTATGACGAAATATACAAAAAAAACCCGTCCCCAAAGGGTTAATACCATTCAACTTCATAGTTGATTAAATAACCATTGATTTCAGATAGTTATTGCCAATTTATGTTAAATTTTCTAGTTGATCAGGAATTTGGAAGAAAAGAATTTTATCATGAGAAAGGAATGATGAATAGAATCTCTGTATGAGCCTATTTGAAAAAGCAAATATTTAGCAAAGAGAAAAAAAATCAACAATGTGTTTGAATCTTGGAAGATGTAAGGTAAAATTGGGGTGAACTCAATGCATTATAAACACTATCATGAGCTATCTTCTTTAGATTCGTTTTACTAATACGAAGCACATAAACTTAAGAATTTATCTTCAAGGATAATCAACTAGCAGAAAAACATTCTATCTTTATTTATTTAGTATTGCGGCTAGAGATATATTTTGTTATGAACTTTTTAACAATTTGACAAATTCCCTTTATGCATATATTCGTTTGATATATTCATAACGACATACCGAAGTTATTATATTGATTCATGCTGAAATTTAGAACTCAATTGTATAAGGACTTTGTTAATTTAATGTCATGTACCATACATTTGCTTATTTATTGCATTTATGACCATTGGAAATTCAACGAAGAATTTGAAATGTCCTCGAATGTTCCAGAAGAATCTAAGCATAAAATTTACTTGTAATGTACTCAGCAGCCTTTGATTTCTATTAGTTCTTTGAATTGATAATTTTCGTTCGAGTTCGTCCATTGTGCAGATAAAAGTTTGAACAGGATCAATAACATGAATGCTTTCTTCTTCAATTATGATCATTTTAATGAATTTTCCGATTGTTCTTGGATATTACGAGAAAAAATGAATCGTAGAATTTCAGTCTGACATGCTACTTGAAGATAGTTCTCATAATACTTATAATATCCTGCAGAATTGGCTATTTCTTCAGGTAAAATTTCAGACTAAAATTCTGCAATGGTTCGAAAATTCATTAAAATAATCATAACACAAGAAAACAACACTCTTTTTCTTGTATAGATCAATAAATTCAATCTAAAACCAAACAATAAAACTTTAGTTATTCAATTTATCTAGTTTGTAAATTTGTCTCGCTTTAAATGAATTCAGAATTTCATTAATGTATGATAAAGATGAATCTTACCATTTAATCATAATTGCTATAGAATTAACTAGTTCAAATTGAATAATTGTTCGTGTACGTATTGCTGTGCCTTCAAGTGTACGAACTTCAATTATTTCACTTGCTGGGCCAATACACCAAAATTATGAACGACTGATATTATAGATATTAAATATGATTTTCATGTCATTACATCTAAAATTAGAAAAATAAAATTTGATTAGTTTTTGTATCGATGCACAAAACAAAAGGACTTTTAAAATATATGATTTCGTGGATGAATTAACACGAATTGATTTCCAATTTATATTTGGATAATTTAATGCATAATTAATATTATAACTAATTAATTATATATTAATACTTGATTCTTTTTTATTCATAAATAATCTTACTTTCTTCTGATGAAGTTATTTTGTTTAGAGTTCATTAGAACTCCGAAGATGTCTGTTCGAGATAACCAGTGTTCTATATATTTCCTATATAGTGATAGAAAATCCTATGTAAATGGTGCTTTTGAATTCTTATACACTCTAGTACATCGTGTTTGTGTTGAAAGAATTGCTTTACATCAATATTGCTTGTGTAAAAAACAAGAAGCTAGAAAAATTATTCTTTTTCAATTCATAAAAAAAAATGATGACCTATTTATCGATAAACGTTTCAAAAATTGACTTTAATTCAAAATTTTGATTGATCATCTAAAATAACTAAAATTTCACCAATATTTATCTATAATTTTATCAGTTCATGTTTGTACAACATGCCTATGAAATAGTTCCTATATTTACATTAGCAAAAATTTCAAAACAGTTTTTGGAAATTTATCAAAGGCATCATACAAATATACAATTAAGATTTCTATTAAAACATTCTCATCAAAATTTACTCATCTATGTCAGTAGAATCTGTTAATAGAAAATAAAAATTTAAAAGAAAAAAATGTCGTTTGAGATTTCAATTAGGCATTGATCACTTTAGATTTTCTATATTCGTATTTCAACTAAGAAAAAATACCATGTATAGTGAATATATTAAAACGAAACACGGTCAGAGCAATTCTTGAAGTATTTATCTCATATTCATCATCATCATTCACACAAAACACTAATGGCAGGCAACATATATTACTTGGAATTATATGTGTCATTAAAGTTATGAAACCTAATTAGACTCGTACACAATTGTCAAACATAGCTGTATGCAAATTTGAATTAAACTTTGTTAGATCAAATTGATTGTGGATTTCTTTCGGAAGTATGTCGACTGAATAAATATACATTTATATTATTCAACGATAGAGTAAAGATTATTGGAATAATTTCAAAAAGACTTCGAACATTTTTCTTCTAGCATACAACAATGGACTTGTTTTTAGAATTTGAAAGGATGTTGATATCCAATAATTACAAAATTTCAGAAGTTAGCACTTCAACTAGTAATAAAAACCTAAAACAATATAATTTTAACTTTATAGAAATATTTTCATTGTTATATCCTCTATTTTTTCTGTATAAAAAAAACTGTCAACAAAATATAAAAACAAATTAATAAAACACAATCGTGTTCTTTTATTTGGTTCGAATTTGTTGAGAGAGAGAGACAGACAGAATTGTGAAATGAAAAAAAAGATACAATTTTCAATGTTAAATTTTCTTTCTTTTTAATATCGCATGAGAACGAATAGTACAAATATTTTTATCAAATACGTGTTCAATAAATCAATAGACCAGTTCCGTTATTACGTTTTATGACAAGAATATCAACTATGCGAAGTCTTTAATAAATGTTCATGATACTATGTTGATGTTTATAACAGTAAAAAGCGTATCAGTAAAGAATATTTTGCACAAGATACTAATTTAGAAAAGTTCACAAACAAAGTTATTTGTAGATGGATGAAACATATTTCAAATGTCGATAAAATTTTAATTAATCCTGTACTTCATATGATAATCCTAGAAGAGTCACTGGTGAAACAATTATTGAAATAGAATATTAATATTTCTGATATATCAAGAATATGGACCGATATCGATCAGGCACACTCTTGTTGGTGATGGCAGTTTAGTCACGTCAGTGACCATCATGAAAAGAACGACTTGACAAAAATTCGATGGCATCTCATTTTGTAGAAAATTGCTTATTCTATCATCATGTATGAAGAGAGCAAATTTTACATCCAATTTGTAGCCTCTGAAAAAGATCTCTTATCTATCTAGCTTTTCTAACACTTTCGAATGGTATTGATATCAATAGTAACGATGATCGTCATTATATATTATAGAATACGTTCCCATCATATATCTTCTCTATTGATCGGAAAACATTTTATTTAAAATAAATAGGGTGTGGGTGTGGAAGTTGTTTTAACCCACATACACACACCCACATCCACATAATGAAATTTGGAAATAATTTGTTGTCATTTCAAATTGTTTTCGTTTATTAAATGATATATGAATTAAAGTCGTGTGATTTAAATATATTTCTTCATCAATTAGATAAATATTTATTTGTATGTGATCGAAGTTTTTTTTATTAAATTAAAACCATATTTAAATGATATTCTTTCATCAGTTTTATTAATAATTAAATCATATAAATTATTTCGTAATTTATATTATATGGACTTCGAACAGTTAGAAAAAAATCTTGAAATAAATTTTCTTTTTTTATTATGCGTATTCAAATAATAAATAGTTGATGAAATTTTGCTTTAAAATAAAAATCTTTAAAGATTTTTTTCTTCTAATTTAATAAAATTTTTTCAATAAGCATTTATATTAAACGAATAATTTTTTAATGAAATAAAAGTTTCTTTTAATATTAATCCTCTCTTGTCTTTGACTGAACCTGATACTTCGGATGGACATTTCGCTCAATAACATTAATCCTATGGTTTCTAATATACACAGGAAAAGTTTGAACTAAACCCATCAAGTACCAATATATAAGACACGAGGTGTGAGTGTGTCTGTGTAGATGTAGATACTCCATACCCTCACTAAGCTACAACAGACAAGTCTTTCTTTTATGACATGTTTATAGTGCGTGTCGCAACATTATATATCACAAAAAATTATTTTTATGATAAAGATTAGATTCAAATTGTGAATTTGAAGTTTACAAGAGATCTGAATTCTTATCAAATGGTCTTTATAGATAGAGATGCAAGCTGATGTGTTGATCAGTAGTGATGGTCGACAAGTTTTAATTTTTTAAATGTTCGGTGGCGGCAGTGGTTCGACATTTTCGATGACTCTTTTTAAAATTTTCTTAGTTTCGAGAGATTTTGAAATGAAAAAGATAGAAAATGCTGGCTGACACGAAACTAGACAAGTCATGTAAGAAAATGAAAAAGAATCTCATTTTAGTCTAATTTGAATGAGATTATTCAATATCTGATTGATTTTGATCCCAGCGGTGGTAAAATGAACTTTTCTCAAATTTTAATTTAGACACCCGAATTTTTTAAAGTTTCGGTCATTTCTTGATTGAGTTGAGTAAAAATTAGTTTTCAGCTTCAAAGATAGATTTCATTTGATTTTAATGAATTTTAAATCATAAAAAGCCAGTTAAAAGTAGATTGTTTTTTTTGATAGGAAGAACATGCCCGAAAAGTGATCCTGAATGTCAAAAGTTTTCGAAAATTGAGTATCTTTTTTTGTGTCACGACGGCGAATTACATTGATAGACCAGGCCTCGCTTTTAACAATAGCCATGTGTATGAAAAGATTCAATAGAAATTGTATTTTCTAAAACAATGTTATCACATATATCATATCCTATTGCGTATTCTAAATGTTAAACTTTCATTCAGATAATTTAATTCTAATTTGAGCAGTTAAGATTGAAAGAAGAACATTATCTATATCACTAGTCTTATGTATTTTCAATCACAAGTTTTAGCTAAAAAAGAAAAACATGACCTATTTTCATAAAATTAAATATCATTTTAAAACGGTTTTTTTTTGTTCTTTGAAAAGAAAAATAAATTTATTAACATGATTTTTATATACAGCTATTACTCGTACTATTCCATGAAGTTCCTAAAGAACAATCACAAGTATTTGCTGTCGGATTATTCCATAACATATTTCCTGGACAAATACAATGTCCTAAATAACATACAAGATTACTTGAACAAGCATATTGTCCTGGACATGTTCCATTAAATGAATGTTGACTTGTACATCGCTGTCCATCCCAAAAATAACCCATTTGACAATCACACATATATGCAACTGATGTTGTATAACAATTACAACCAGTACTGTTTGTTGGACAAGACAAATTAACTGTTGTATTACATTGAAAATCATATTGACAAGAAACAGCATAAGTTTTCTAATAAAAATAGAAGCAATAAAAAATTAACGAAAAGATCATTAAAGAAAAAACCTTTTGTTGACACCATAATGTTGTTATATTATCCCAATAACTATATTGATCACATTCACATTGAGATGATACACATGATAGACCTCTTGTAGTATCACATGGTACCGTACTATTACATGATTGCCATCCAAGAGCATCTATTAAAATAGATAATATTATAAAATAAAAACTAAAACTTATAGATCAATAACTTTACTTTGTATACATATAGATCCGTCCCAATAAGATGTTGAACTACATTGACATTTTGAACCTATTATATTAAATGAAAGAAAAATCTGTACTAATTATTTTCTTAAAATATTCTAATTGTAAACCTGAAGAAGTATTAGTACAAGAAAGACCTAACCAATCTTGACAATCAAATTTTGTCTTACAACTATCATCATATGTTAATCGAGCAATACATTGACCTTGAGTTGTACTACCAGATGTAGTATCCAAATAAGTAACATTATTACATACACATACATTTTGACCAGTTGTATATGTTTGATTAGTAACAATTTCACATGTTAAAGTAGGTCGACAAGCAACACTACTAGTACAAGGATCACCATAATAACCATAATCTTGACATTTAATACCATTCCATATTTGATATTGACCACATGAACAATTTTGTGCTGTTGTATTCCATTGAAAATCACCCATACATATACATGTACCAGCAGGACACCAAAGCATACGTGTAGAATCACATGAACGAGAATTCATATAACATGATTCACCATAAAGTAGATATGGTTGTGTTATTACTCTAGGTGATGTTATCCAATAAGCAAGGCCACCTGTAAACAAATATCAGAGTTTTAAAAAAATTTCTTTTGTTTTCATTGTAAATATCAATGTATGCATTTTATATTATCTATTTATGAAACACAATAATCATAAAATTCATAACAAGATAATTATATTGTTTTTTTTTCATCATACAAATATATTGATAAAAATTTTTCTTCTCGTATGTTTGTTTTTTATGATATGTTACTTACCAATGCCTCCAGCTAATCCTAATAAAACTAAACTTATTACAAGTGCTGTTTGCCATCTTTGTGTTAAACATCTATTTTTACTAGCCAATTCTGCACGATGTGACTTTCTTAATAAATCATTATTAATAACTTCAACTTGCATAAGTGTTTGTTCTTCGATTTGACCATCATTTTTTAAGAATTTTGGATATTGAATTTCATTTGTTGATATAACTGATAGATCACGCCTCAATGAACTAGTGATACCACTACCATCAATACTATTTCGAGATAATAATTTTTGTTTAGATGAAGTTGAATTAGATGATACTCTCATTCTTTTTTTTTATGTCGTTTGATTCTACACTCAAATAAAACGAATAGAATTTTTTTTTCAAGTATTAGTATTTTGGTAGACGATAGAATTTCTTTGATTTCATTCCTATTAAATAAATGTAGAGAAAATATTGATTTAAGCATTAAATAAACTATGGTTGTCTATCGTGTGATCGATTGACAATAATGATTTCAAAAAACATTCTCGTTGTACATCAACCGATTAATTGCATTTTACCATTATTTAGTAATATGCCTTAGAGAAGCATTAATTTCAGTTGTATATTGACAAATCATCTAGATTTGTTGTTTTTTGAAGAACGAAAAAAAAAGTTACTTCGTATTTATGAAGACATCAACTAAAAATAAATGTGTACAACTTCGCGAAAAAAAGGATGTTTAACCATTTTATTGTTTCATTTATATTTTGTTAACTATGAACATTTATGAAAAGTGTAATACCGTTTGGTAAATAATATACATCTTTAAATATTTCGACAAGATAAATTTCGTTAGTTGATTCATGTTTTATTTTTAAAAATTTGCAATCAAATTTGTTATCACAGCAACTAATGTTGGAGTATAGGAAAAAAAAGATCATTCAATAACGAAAGACACGTTCAGAATATAAGATGTCGTTTGCTTATGGGATAATTGTAATCTTAGATAAATCTACGATTTCAGTCGTAGCTATTGATGTACAGTAAAATGTCTCCAAAATTAAGAAAATTCAAAAACTTCCATATCTATTACTGCTTAACAAAACTGTCCAATGGTTTCAATTAAAACCATTCACATCTTGTCATTTTTAGATCATTTTAAGATACTGTTAGTAATTGTCTTGTGGTTGAATCGAGTTTTCATCAAACTACTCTTCTTTTATTTGTACAAGAAATGAATATTTTTCGATCTGAATATAATCGAAGCTCAGATTGTGGTCCTTTGGTTTTCTGTTAAATATCATCACAAATAATTTGGTATAGAAATGATTTATCTGGACAATAAATGATCTAAATTATAGTAAAGTCAGAAATAGTAATCAATCGAAAACAAACGATTGGCCGATTGACATGAACTATGAAAAGTAAATTACAAGTTGACAGGACAAATAATTTGTTTTCCTTGCTCTTTCCAGACGTACAGAATCTAAATATTTGCACTAACGTGCGTTGAAGAAACCTTTCAAGTTTGGAAAATTTTTTCGTTCAAAAATTCGAATAAAGAAAATATTTCTCTTGTAGCAATAAGGGCATCAACTTCGTACACATCTTCGATGATTTATTTATTGATTAGAAAGTATCAAAATAGGTTCTTCTTGTATTTAAATATACAATTGGAAGTGGCAGCCGATCGATTGAATCGTCGCTGTCCTTTCCTAAAATAGTTGTAGAAGATTCCAGCTACCGATCAATAAATCGGCTTACATCTCTATATAAAACTTGTCACTTTTTGAAATGAAATCAAAATCAATCTTCAATCAAATGGTATTTGCCCATAAGAACTCTTTCCTTACGAACATTAGTTATGAAAACTCAGTTGTTTTTCTGTAAATGTGAATATTTGATGAATTTATATTATTGAAAATAAAAAAACAAAAGATATTCTTTGATAAATGCTTAGCGTTTTTTTTTTCTTCGTTTATTAATGAAACAAATAATACAACAATGAGCGCGCGCACACATACACACACACGGTCTAATACTTTAAACAGATAGAAAAAAAAACAGGCGACAAAGATCAACTGTACAAATGTGTGCAGTTACTCTCAACAATGAGCAATACAAAAAAAGAAAATAAATGAACTAATAATTAACTAATACTTGTTGATTGTGATGTTGTAACATTGTTATTAGTTTCAACAGGTTTTGTTTGATTATAATAATCAGGTAGAAGTTTAAGACGATTAAGTATTTGATCAATTATTGTTGCTGATAATGGTTCATTAGAAAACCAAGGTGAATTTTCAAGAATTTGTCCAGTTATTGGATGTAAATAGAAAATATCAGCTGTACCACGTATTTGTTCAGGACTAAAATCCAAAACAAGAAAATAATATAGTTTAAAAAGTAAAAATAAAAATTTACCATTTTGAAATATAAAAATCATATTGTTTTATTGGACATCGTATTGGATCATTCATTTGTTCAGTTATTTCATAAACAGTTGGTGAATTTGCTAATGATTTCAGATCTTTATTCAAAACAAAACAAAAAAGACTATTAGTGCAATCCTTATGAGTTAAAAATATGAAACATGATGTCGCTGATCTCAGCAAGATTTCATTTATTCCTATACTTCTGTTAGATCGTGTTTCATAAAAAAAAAAGGAATATTTTTTAATTTAAAAAACAAAATTATCATTTACCAGGATTATGAGCATAAAATCTTAAATAATTCATTTGTTGTCCTTGTGGTATACTTGTTGATAAACGTATCCATTGAGAATATTTTCCAAAATTTGCAAATGATATAGCCATATGTGATTCAACAGTTTTTAAATTAAAATATTTTGTATTTGTATAAATAAGTGTTGTTAATAAAGACCATGGTGTTAATGTACCAAATTGATGTACATCATATAATAAATCTTCATCAATTAATGATACATATGTATTAGCTAAGAGAAATTGTATACAAAAGAAAAAAACAAAATTTATTTATTATTTTTATTATATTTTACTTACAATCAGTTACAACACGTGGTATATAATTTAAAAGAATTTTATTTAATGTTGAATTAAATTCAATATAACGTGGATCAAATAAATCAATTTGACGATTATTTAAATTTAAATAAAATTGTATACCTAAAAACAAAAATTTTATATTAAATAATAGCCTTAGTAAGATGAATTCAATTTAGATTTATCTCAAATTCTGTTTTTTTTGCAAAAGATCTCTTCATAGTTGCACTATATTAATTAAAACAAGATATTTTTCTTTTCATGGCGTGTTTATTTTTCTGCAATCAAAAAACATCCTTGGTCTCACAATTTATAATCATTTTCAAGTTTTGAACATACCTAAACAAAGATAATAGATGCTTTCTGGTAAATATTGATGACCTGTTGGACGACGAACTTCACGTATGAATACATCCATAACAGGTTGTAATTCATCTCCATTTGTATATGAAAGTAAATCGGATTTAATTAGATATTCTTTGGCTATTGCTTCATCTACAATTTCAGAGAAAAAAAAACTTATAATATTCAATTGAATAGAATACCTTCAGGTGTAGTTGATGTTGATGGATATAAGATAGATCGATTACGTTGTGTAGACCATTGTTGAAATGCTTCAACACCATAAGTCCATTTAAGATGATCACCAGCATCGGGTAACATTCGAAGAAGCTAATATATAATAGAAGAATTTCTATTGAAAAGAAATTATTACTAGATAATACTTTTTGAACTTCAGGATCATTTGATGTTATAGGATCAATATAATGTGCTTCAAGATCAAGTTCAGGTAAATTTTCAATAGTTTGTGATGTTGCTAAATAAGAATCTAATACACCGAAAAAGAAAAAACTACAACAACAGCAAAAAAGACTATATCAAGTAAACCAACCATCACGAGTTAAATCCATCATCATCATTGAATCATTAACATGACTTGTTATTGTTTGTTGTGGTTGATTTTCAGCTCGTACAAGACTTTCAGCATGCATAACAAGTGCTGCTTCAAATGGATCATCTGGTAAAAGATCACGTTGAGTCTAAAATTATTTCATTTTTTTTTAATTCTCTATATTCAACAATTCAAATAATGATTTTAATAGCTAATGGAGTTTTCTATCGAATGCATTCTATATATTAAGATTTCTAAAAAAAGAAGAACCAGACACAGTAGTTTTCATGTAGGGAAGTGCAAAGTAGTCCTGATCCCGTTATGTTTTCTGTTTAAGAACTAGACTACATATTTTCATACTTATTATTTTGTTCTGACTAATAATCTACAAATTGACCCTTTTTTTTTATTTATGATTGAGATACAATTATGGATTTTATTTCGATCCTGAACCGGAACTATCTTGGAAGTCAGCTCACTCATTTAAATTCTGTATCGATTGAAGAACTGTTAGTTTTGAGAGAATTTTCTAAGTCATACGGTCAGAATCAAGGAAAATTTTGAATGAGACAAGAATATGATTTTATAGTTCTTTAGTTTTGACACATGCGTATAAAAGATTATTACAAAAATTATTTTTTGCTAGAAACGAAATCGGAATCAGAAGCAATAAAAAATTTTAACTGAGATCGGAACCAAAAGAAAGGTCATCCCGCCGTTCTCTATTTTTAGGTCCTAGAAGACTATCTTTTAACAATGCTATATTAAAGAGCAGAAAATTCTGAACAAAATGACGGATCAACACGTTTTCTGTGACCCTTCCTTAAAAAATTAAAAGTATAAAAATATTGCAAAAAAAGGCGTTTTTTAGAAACCATGTTATCATAGTTCATTGATGGAACCTTCAATAGAAAACTTCATTGACTATTAAAATCACTATTTGGATTTGAGTTAGATGCTTAACATCATAGAGAAAAAAAAATTAAAAATACATTGTTATTAAACTTCTTCTTTTTTCTTCCATCATTTTATATCTTACTTGAAGATATTCTCGAATATTTTTATAAGTTTTTTTTGATACAGGTATCATAATCGGTACAAAAACAGGTACAGGAATTGGTACTGCTTTTGGTTGAAATAGTCGATAACTTGGTGATGGTGATGGAAGATAAAGTGGTACAGGTAATGTAACTAAAGGTACATCTGGAATCATATGTTCCATTTCTATATATATATACATAAAAATTTATAATTTTAATCAAAAGACAAACAAACAAACAAACAAAAAAGAAAAAGAAACCTGTTTGTGTTGCTATAGTAAATCTTGTTGGTTTAGCTTCAACTTCTCGTTCAAATACTAATGGTTTACACATTGTCATTTTATTTTTCATTGTTGATGGATTTGTTATTTGTTGTGGCATAATAAGTGGTATAAAAGATTTTACATGATATAATTCATCATCAGGCCAACGTGGTTGTTTTTTATTTGCGATTGTTGTTGTTGTTGTTGTTGTTGTTGTACGCATATCAGTTATTGCACGTGGTTTTCTTCCTGGTCCAATAGTTGTTGTTTGTGATGATGTTCCAGATGAAATTTGAGATTGTTGTGGTGGTCGTGGATAATCCATTAAACGATAAGGTATATCATCTTCATCATCTTCTGCTTTATGTAATGGCATTGATGATGGTGTTGGTGGAATAGGATTTCCATGTTCATCACGATCCAATAATGGAAATGTAACAAAATCAGCATCTTGTTTTGGTTTAGGTACACGTGTTGAACGACGTGTTGGACCTAAATTATCATTACCACTCATAGAATATGATGGAGGAGATAAATCACGATCTGAATCAGCATCATCATCATCATCCTCGGATGAACGATGTCGAGAACGATTTCTATGAGAGAATAAAATAGATATTTTGTTTTTTGTTTTTTTTTTCTTTTGAACATATTTACTGAAACCAAGAAAGTGGTCGTCGTTGAGAAGATTGTTGATGATGTTCAATATTACTTGATGTTGTTATACGTCGTTGTTGTCCTAATGATGATGTTAATGATTGTTGTTTATTAGATATTAATCCAGTACGATTATGATATTGTCCTAGTCCGACAGTTGCTGGTCGTCCAAAAAACATTCGTTCATCATTAATTGTTTGTTGTTGTTGTAAAGGTTTACGAATTGTTGTTCCTCCACTTGATGTTATTGTTGATTTAACAGCTGTACCTGGTCGACCAACAACAGGTGTACCACCATATGTATTAGCTGTACGAGATTGACGTGATCCGAATGTATTAATATGAATATTTGATTTAGTTTCAATTGGTTGTTCAATAAATTTTTGTTCAATACCAATTGGTACAATATCAGCTGGTGGCTGTTGAATAAGTGATGTTAATTCTTGAAGAAGAATTTCAGCTGATGGTTGAGATTGAGAAATTTGAGATAACGGTAGAACGGTAATAGTAGATGGTTCTGTTGATGTTTCCGCAGGAGCAGGTACAGTTAATAATTCAATTGTTTGACCAATACCGGGTAAATCTAGAAAACAAAAATGAAAAAGAAAGATCATTAATGAACTTACAAGAAGATTTATTATATAATTCTGGCAAAGATTAGCGAATCACTTGTTCGAGTGATGGTGTTTCCTCGCTTTATTCAAATATGGAATTAGATTTCTTCAACGCTATTGGTAAACTGAAGAAAATAAGTGTTTATTAAAATTTATCGATTTTTGCCTAGCTGAAAATATAGAACCACAATCATATTTTCGTTATTTGTTGATCACATAGATATTGGTTTTGCTTGAAAGTCATACGAGCAGATAGAGAAACTCTGTCTGAACATTACAAAGAAAATGAATTTTAATACATGTTTGTTATTCAGCTTAGTAATAGCGTTGAGGAAATCTAATTCCATATTTGAATAAATCATATTCGAATGTATAGAGTCGTATTGGCTTTTCTCAAAAGTCTAGAATGGTCGTGAGCGAGCAAAGAATATCAGTCAAACAGATGGCCTTATAATTTTAGACAGAACTGCATCGAGTAGAGAGCTGTGGGTCCTTCCAGACCCGACCTGGATCCTACATTTTATTTTTTGTCGGACCTGATTATACGTTTTTATGGGCCTGCTGCCCCACAAATGAGAAATACAACAACAAGATATAACTGTACGTTGAGTTTTTTTTCTGAGAGTAACGAATAAATAGCTAAAATCTTGATCCCTCGCTTGTTCATGTACATGAAGGGTACCAAGTATTGATGGAAAAAACCTCGGGTTTGGACCTGCAGCTGCCTACTTTCGAGTAAAATTTTAAGATTCTCGTACTCAATAATGCATTTACAAAATTTGTTTCTTAAGTATATTCATCTATAAATGAGGGTCATCAAATTCACATAATAAATTTCCTTATTGTTTAAATTAATAGTTCTCTATTTTTATTTCTTTTTTAAAAATGGATAGTAGTTTTTAAAATCTTCAGATATTAAACTAACTAAAATTCTTATCAAAATGATTAGTTCGTGTAACAATCAATTTGAAAAATCTCAATGTTTACACTTACATGCTTTGCCTGTTTTATTAAGTTCTTCAAGAAAGTCATGTACTTGTGGTTCAGTCATTGAACTAAGTACTGCTTGAAGTGTTGCATCATCGACAACATTCATTTGTTGTTCTTTAGTTGATGTATCCATCATTGTTGTTGTTGTTGACGTATTAACATTCTGTTCAGTAATAACTAAATTATTTAATTATAAAAAATAAAAAAAAACAAGAACGAGAAATTATTCTTACTTCTACTATCATCAGTTGTGATATTTTGTGATATTTCTTCGGTCATATCTTTATTAAATATATAAAACAAACAAAAGAAAATTTTCTTAACAAATTATTTTTCCTAGAGTTGAAAAAAAAAACATAATAACAACAAATAATAAAACATCATTTAATTTGTTTTTCTTTTTTGTCATAGATATTGAAACACAGAAAACAAAAAAAACATGACTAATAGAATGAAACAGCATGTAATATTGTTCGTTTTGTTTTTAATTCAAATTCTGTAAGAATTTCATCAATTGTATTATCTAAATCAATAGCTGCTTCCATCTATAAAAAAAAGATTATTGTTATGGTTTTGTTATTTTTTTTAATACTTTTTGTCCTAATTCACAAAGCATAAATGCTCCTAGTGTAGCATCTTCTGGATTATCAATAACATCAATATTAATAACATGAACTATTTCATTTGTACGTTTATCACGATTTTCTAAATCTATATCAGACAAAAAAATAGTATAATTTTTTTTTTTTGTGTTTCTATTATTACCTTCCATAACTTGATCAAATATTCGTTCTTCA